GTCGTGTAGAAAAAATCTTTTTAAAGCAGCTGTTAGTGAGAACCTAGAAATTGAGATAAGTAAACACAAACTCCTGCCTGTGCTTAGCCTAGTCTGAGACCTCCTCTGGGATCATGCTTTGTTGTTGTGCTCTTACAAGATGTGTTTCCTGAAAGAGACTTTGGAATTCCAGGTGAGAGGCTCTGACCAGAGCCACTGGTCTCGGAGCTCCCCGGCTGCCGGCCAGGAGAAGATCACCCAAAAGCACCGGGATCGCTCCAGGTCCAGGAGCCAGTCCCGCTCTCCTCAGAGACGCTCTAGCAAGAAGAATTCGGAACAGCCTGGATACAGGGAGTCAAGATCTCCTTCTAGACACAGTAAACAGTGAGCGTGGCTATCCTGCGTAACGTAAATGTACAGCTGCTGGTGGGGGGGACTTCTCTAGAAACAAAATCCTTCTTCTTCAGTCTCCTTCTACCACTTCAGCCATGGTGCTGCGCAGCTGTGGGTGTAAAAGCAGGAGCTGTGCGATTGTGGGAGAGTGCAGAAGCACATGGGCCAGCGCCTGGAGCGGACACGCTGTCTGCCACAGCGCTCCTAGTTTGGGACACGCTTTAATTATTACTTATGTCCGTGCTTTATTTGTGCTACTGATGCTCTTAGAAAAGGTATTTATAATTGTTGATACTAAACGCTGATAAAATCAGGTAGCACGTGTTTATTGTTTGCTGGGGAAATAATTAAAACTAAGTAAAAATCCATGGAAATTTACAGCGTATTAAAGTCGTTAGAATTTGTTGTCAGAGTGGACAGTCCTGCAGCGATGGGAGATGTCTTGGTTTCAGAATGTATACAACAAATCCAGGGAAAGTTTACATTTGTCTGTCCTAATTAAGGGTATTCTGGCATTACAGACACAGCGATCGGGAGGAGAAAGGGAGGGCTAGAAGCCCTTCTCCTAAAAAGAGCTATCGCCGACAGCACGCGCCGGGTTACACGAGGTAAGCCAGATCTTGTCCGTGCGCTTTGGGATGGAAGTTGCCCTGGTGATTGTGAAACAGCTGGATGTAATCTCTGAACCAAATTTTATTCTGTTAATTAAGCGGATTGGATCGGATGTCCAGCGAGTTGGGCAGAGAGTCCTAAGTGCTCCGTTTGGTGCTCTCGAGCTCGATTGTTAGTTAACACCTTGGACAGCTTCCCAAACCAATTCCCAGCGCTGCTGGTTCTCCGTGTGTCTCACGTCGCTGTGCAAGGCAGTAATGGGAAGTCAGTCTTTGTCCCACAGACTGTTAATTAGAAGCGTTCTGTTTCACTGTCGTCAGGAAAATATGACCTCAACAGCATCATCTCACCAGTCAATTAAAAACAAGAAGGCTGAAAAGAGGGAGGAAACAGACTCTTGCTAGGGACGTGGCAGAGCAGAACATTTTGACATGTGCTTACAAGCTTTGCTGATTGGCTCCCAAAGGAAAAAAATGTGCTTAACACCCCTAGTTCTGTGGATTCTAAATTGTCTTAAAGAATAGAAAGCAAGAGGAGTATGGAGTATGGGGTACAGCGTGCTCTTGATTCACAGCAGTGGTGTTTTCTACACAAACAGAAAGATCTCTCCAGAGGAACTGGAGCGTAAACGCCAGGAAATGATGGAAAATGCCAAGTGGCGGGAAGAGGAGAGAGCAAACAACCTCAGGAAACACCGAAAGGAGGAGGAGCTGGAGCGAGAGCTGCAGAAACTCGATTCCCACGATGGGAAGTTCTTCAAGTGAGTGTCTTTTATCATCTGCTTTTTCATTCAAGGGAAATAGAGGCCACAGCTGCTGAGGAGGAGTGAGTGATGGTCTCCACATTTCAGATGTTTCAGATTAGGGTGTACGATCAGTCTCTGCTGTGTTGTACAGTAGAACGAGGGTCATCTACCATTCCCAAGTTCTCTTCTTAACCCAAAAGAGAGCTATTTAATTCTTGAGGCTGCCAGAGCTGGGATCCCATAAAGGTAGCTTCAAATCACGATATATTTTCTCTGTGAGGAAGAGTTCTTGCAGAGTGAGGTTTTTGTGTGTTTCCTGGCGCAGAAGCGACTGGTTGAGCTAATGAACGTGGTGTTTATCGGCATGTCGTTTGAAGAGGGAGATGGGCCCCTTTGGAAAAGCACAGCAGGTTGATCTGAAGTAGTAAAAAGAAGTAAAAGGGTCACAAGGGTCCCTTCTCCCTCCTGTAGCCACTGCAGTCATTTACAGCACCAGCTCCGGCGTTGGGGCTCCCAGAGGAGCGCAGCCCTCAGTTCAGGAACACGTTGCTTTTCCCTCCTTCGCTTCACAGAAAGCAACCAAGTCCCCCGTGGCGGATGCATTTGTAATTAATGATTGGTTATATTTGGAAGATGGAGGAGACTTGAGAGCTACTGAAAATATATTTCTGAGCGCTGACCTTAAATAAGACATTGAATCTGTTACAAGCCAAACTAAAAGGTACCCAGTCCTCCCAGTGCAGACTTTAACAGGAAATAATCTGCTGTATCCTGTGTTAGATTAATTTAAATATGTGGCTCAGGGATGGCAAATCCTGCTAGAAATAGTGTAATGTTTGGAAGAGATTCTGAATTCTTTCTTTGGTTGAATTTTCTACAGCCGCTTAAAATTAGAGAGCGCATCAACTTCCAGCCTAGAAGATCGGGTGAAACGCAAAATCCACTCCCTTCAGAGAACTCCTGCTGCCTTGGAAAAAAACTTTATGCAGAGATGAAACTTGTTCTTCCTCTGCTCCTGTGCAGAAGTTAAATGGACGCTTATTCCCAAAGGTGAGAGACCTCCAGCAGCAGCCTCGCTGCTCTCCGCACGAACAGTTACCATCTCCCAAAGAAGTGCTGGATTTCTGCACTGCAGCCTGCAGCATGTTCTGGACTTCTGGTGGTGTGAATACGTTTGTAATGAGTATGACCTTGCAAGCAAACCTTTGCTGGAGAACTCATGAACCTTTGTATTCTGTTTTTAACGTGTTGCCAGCTCTTACCCTTCCTCTCTCTCCACCCCTTGACTGGCATAATTTTTGTATGTCGTTATTACCAAATTAAGCCAGGTGATAACTGCTTTCTACATTGGGCAGAATGTCCGAGCTCTTTATACGACGGAGCAGAAGACCTATTTTTGTTAGTCTTTAGAAATCGGAGCAGAACAGAGTTTAGTTTTGTGGAATTTGCTAAAAGCTACAAGAGTGATGGACAAAAACCGCTGCTCGGTTCCATCACCGTTGCAGGTGGGGGTGGGGGGGGGGGCGTTAGCCGAGCCTGCAGGATGCCTGTAGCCACCAGTTGGTTGCTCACAGGTTTGGGTGGTGGTTGGAGCTGCTCCGGAGGGAGAGGAGGTGAGCAGAGCAGAGCGGGTGTTTCTCTGCCATTTTTGTAATGTAAGTAATGTGTATATGTACAGCACTGTAGATTTTCCTTTTTTCGCTTCCCTTTTCTTTTTAAATTAAGAAACTTTACTGTGGTTTTTA